TACATACCCTCAGCCCCGAGGGAGAACTACTCCCTCCTCGTCATGGAGAGCACCGGGATGATGAAGATGGCCACCGGAGAGGGATTCCCCCCTCCGGCAGGGTGCCGAAACGGGTCTAGATTGGGTTTCGGTGGCTACGGAGGCTTCTGGTGGCGGAATTCCCGATCTATTGTGCTCTCTGATAGTTTTAGGGTATATGGAGATATATAGGCGGAAGAAGTACGTCGGGGGAGCCACGAGGGGCCCACGATGGTGGTGGGCGCGCCCCCAGCCTCGTGGCCTCCTTGTTGCTTCCCTTACGTGGACTCCAAGTCTCCCGGGTTGCTTTTCTTCCAAAAATAAGTTCCGTGAAGTTTCAGGTCAATTAGACTCCATTTGATTTTCCTTTTCTGCGATACTCTAAAACAAGGAAAAAACAGAAACTGGCACTGGGCTCTAGGTTCATAGGTTAGTCTCAAAAATCATATAAAATAGCATATAAATGCATATAAAACATCCAAGGTTGATAATATAATAGCATGGAACAATCAAAAATTATAGATACGTTGGAGACGTATCATGGTCTATGGCAACGTATTGTGAGGGTCAGATACTTTAGAAACAAAACAGTAGCTGATATACGGAGCCGTTTCTCGGACTCCCCGTGTTGGAAAGCTATCATGAAAGTCAAAGACACATATATGGCTGGAAGGAAAGTTAATATCAATAGTGGTAACCTGGCTAGAGTCTGGCATGATCCTTGGATAGATGATACAGCTCTGTGTGAGCGCTTCCCAGATCTATTTACTATTTACCAAGATCAAGAATACACTGTTGCTTCCTGGGTTGCAAATAATTATAATCTGGATTTTAGACGCAGATTGTTTGGTGAGTTGAATAATCAATGGGCTTGGATGGTTATGAAAGCCAGGCAGCTGTCTTTGAATAACTCTTCAGATACTATCTCATAGAAGCATAATAGTAAAGGAAAATTTACGACTAAGTCGGTTTATGAGTGGCTAGAAAGGAACCTATCTGGCCCTAACTATAAGTGGGTGTGGAAAGCCCCTATCCCACTAAAAATCAAAATTTTCTTGTGGCAACTTTTTCAAAATGTTGTGCTTACAAGAGATAATATGCGGGCTAGGAAGTGGCATGGAGATCCTACATGTTCTTTTTGTACAAATGTTGAAACAGCGAACCATCTAGTCTTTACTTGCCCACTTGCCCGCACAATTTGGGGCGTGCTGGGAATGACGGGTGGAGCATCTTGTTGTCCCTGATCGCTTTGGCAAAGTTGGGCGTGGTTGTATATGTTTTTTCCAGGAGGGGAACATTTCTATATGATGATTATCGCTGCTATTTGCTGGGGGATCTGGAACCTTCGCAATAAAGTCACTTTTGATAAACATATTGCTCGTATTTCGCTGGAGGCTGTTTTCACTACATGTTCTTTTATGTTATATTGGGCAGGTTTGCTTAAAGAAGATGATAAGATGAAGTTCCAGACTGGTGTGAAGAGATTGGCTCATGCGGCTGCTGCATTGGCGGATAGATCCTTTCCCCGCGGCAGACTCCTCCTCGGCGACAATGATGGGATCCAGATCGGCTAGCTGAGCTTCGCTGGTGTTTTCTGATCTTGCCTTCCACTGGGGTCTGATGGGCCGTGACTTTCGCGAAAGCACAACCGTGCCTCTCGCGGAAGCAAAACCGTGACTCTCCCGAAAGAAAAAAAAACAAAAAACACGTTTTGTTTTTCCCTTTCCGAGAGGCACGGCCGTGACTCTCGCGAAAGTACAACCGTGCCTCTCGTGGAAGCAAAACCGTGACTCTCGCGAAAAAAACAGAAAACGCGTTTTTTTCGTTTCCGAAAGGCACGGCCGTTACTTTTGCTAAAGCACAACCGTGCCTCTCGTGGAAGAAAATTCGTGACTTTCGCGAAAGGAAAAAAAACGCGTTTTTTCGCGCAAAAGAAAATTTCAAAAAAAAATTGGTCGAAAAGCTAAGAAAGACCGGGGGAAACCAAAACGTCGAAAAAACCCGTTTAAAAAGCCGAAAACACGTGCGGAAAAATAAAAAAACAAAATCCGAAGGGAGCGTCCAGAGTGCGACACGTGGTAAATGGCTGAGAGCGCGCTAAGTGGCGCTGATCGTTGCGAGGCTCTCAAAGAAGCGCTCGTTAACTAGTTGCTTCCAAGAACAGTTCTGTGCTCCTTGTAAAAAAACAGTTCTGTGCTCAAGGGTTTCGCCGCGAGTAGCGGCGGCCACGAGCCCAGGCGACGAGGAGCGGCGGGGAAGAGGAGGCGGACACACGGCGTACGGCGGATGTTCCGGTGCCTCAGGAGCGTCCGGCAGCGCCTCGGCACCGATCGCCACCACCCGCAGGACAATCGCTGTCATCTCCTCTCACCGATCGCCAACTGGATCGTCCGGCACCATTCAGCAAGCCAGTGAGTGTCCACTCCTCTCATGCTCTTCTTCGGTTCGTTGAGCTCACGGATTCACTAGCTTGTGTGCTCTGCATTGTCAATTTTGCGGTACTTTCTCTTTGCCTGCTCGATGTTGTTTTGGGCAATTTGTCCTTACATCAACTTAAATTTTGTTCAGTGAACAGACCAGCGGAGAACATCAGTGTGGGCTCTTGTGTCTTCCAATTCAAAGTAGACTATGAACGAAGCAAGCAGATTCCCGTTGGCATGGCCTTCTATTCCGACATCGTCTCCGCCGGGGGACACCTGTGGAGGGTTAAGTTCTTCCCGCGTGGGGAGTTAGAGGCCGACCAGGAGTATGTTTCGATCTTCCTGGAGCACATGAGCAAGTCTAGAAGTGTGGAGGTCATGTTTGAGGTCTTTATGATGGGCAGGGACAGCAAGCCATGTATGGCGCACAGACGAAGGTTCGTTCAAACCTTGGAAATCATGGAAGATAAAGACAGCAGCGACTGCTGGGGATGGGGTCAGTTCATCCAGGGAACTATTTTGGAGAAAGGTTACTTAACAGAGGGGCATGTCACATTTGTATTTTCCATCATGATCATCGATGACAACTGTGTTCTTGTCCCTCCTTCAGACATCGGGACCCATCTTGGCCGCCTGCTAGATCACGCTGATGGGACAGATGTGTCATTCATCGTTGACCATGAGACATTCCATGCTCACCGAGCAGTGCTTGCTGCCCGCTCACCAGTCTTTAGAGCAGAGCCCATGTCTGAAGCTACAATGCCATCCATCACGCTGCACGACATCACACCTGCAACATTCAAAGTTATGCTCCGGTTCATATACACAGATGAATTGCCCCTAGAAGACGAGCTTGAGGACTCTTCCACCGAGATGTTCCAGAACCTGCTTGCTGCGGCCGATCGGTATTCACTGGACAGACTGAAGATTGTTTGCGCCCAGAAGTTATGGGATAAAGTGTCGGTAGATACAGTTGCAACTATCTTAGCTTGGGCTGAAATCTACAATTGCCAGGAGTTGAAGAACAGGTGCATTGACTTCTTTGTGGTGGAGTAAAATTTCAAGAAGGCCATCTTCACCGATGGTTATGCGTTGCTGGTTCTGAAATTCCCAGAGATCATTGCTGAGATGAAAAAGAGGGTTTAGGAGATGATACAGTGAGATATATCTCCATGTATATAGTTCAGGTGTTCAAGCGATAGTACTAGATGTGTTTGGGAACGTGGTGAGTGGTATGTGGCATCTTATCAAGCGTACTGGGGCGTATTGAATATGTTTCATGAGGTGGGAGCCTGATATTGCTGAATCTTCTTGTTAGCAGTATTGGGCATAGTTGCTACTGAGTACTAATGGCGGAGTGGTGGATGTTCATCAGATATCAGATACTCGTGCTGAATGAGCAGCTTTTCCGTTTGTGTTTGTTCTTTTGGCCCTCTAATGCATAACTATCTATAGCTCCGATAATCTAAATACTTCCTTTGTCATGGCAAAATAATTTCTAGAGTATAGCCTTTGCATAGCTTACTGTGAAATTCTGTTCCTGGTTCATCACTGAAATCAAACAAGGGATATTCAAAACCTGAAAACGTGGTTGTGACCCTTGTGGGAGTACTGAACAAATTTTCTAATTAATTGACCTGTGTGTTCGAGAGAAGAAAAGGAGGCCCTACTAACGGTTCAGTATCTTTGCATATACTCCTACTACAATTCATTAGAGAAAGGCTAGAAATGTGCAGCTTGTTTTCCGTTTGTGGTTGTTCTTTTGGCCATGTCGTGTCCTGAAGCTTATAAAATGTTCACCTTTTGCTTATATAATGCATGACTATCTAGAGCTCCGAGAATCGCCTTTGTCATGGCCAAAAAATCTGGATTGTAGCGTTTGCATAGCCCAGCATAAAATTCTGTGGATAATTTGTTTGATGCCAACATTTGGCATTGCCAATACTTGGCAAGCCAACAATTAGCAATATCGAAAGTTCCCAAAAAATGGCAACTTCTTGCGAAATTGGCAAGTAAACATGATAACTAACCAAGCTCAAGCGAAATTGCCATCCTATCTGTGCAGATGTCATGGTGATACACAAGTTTCAATGGAACTCAGCTTTCTGAGACTGCTAATCAGTCCAGAAATATGCAAAAAATCATTCATCTAACAACACTCAAAATCATTTGCCCACACTTTATCAGCCAAAGGAATCTACATAAACATGCAAATAACTTGAACAGCAGTGGTAAACAATGCATACTGCTCTTGTAATAGCAAATAAAACAGTGCCAACAGTCGATACACACTCGCATAAAAACAGTAATGAATTTACAGATGGTGTTTCCTGTAACTTTGATTCAAAGCATTACACACAGTGGTTCATGAAGAACAAACTAAAACACAAAGCAGGTGTTGCTGCACAGCAACAGCATTCGAATCCCCTCAACAGAGGCGGATACCACAGTGACCATCCACATATAGTACCACTGTCCACCACAAGCCAGACAAGACACTACATCGAGATACCGACTCCTACAGCTATTAGGTAATAATAAAACTCCGGGTAGCTCTTATTGTTACTGCGTCGGGATGGGCTGCATCTCAGGAGCTGTGGCAGGCGCAGGGTCAGCTGCCGGGTAGGCAAAAACCCTTGCGATGCGCTCCGTTGGGACAAGCGGGAGGTAGGTAGCGACGGAGTTGCCACGCTTAGCACCATCAAGCACGGCAGAGTTGTACTTGGCTGAGAGCTGTGCAGCTGTGGGGAGGACGGCACGGGTCACTGAGGGGACGAGCGGGAGGCGGTTCAGGGCAGCCCAGGCTTCGGCAGCCTTGCGCTCGGCCACAGGCTCGTAGCGGGTATACAAGTCGCGGGCCTTTGGCTCAGCGCGAGCAATGGCCGACTTGGCCAGTCCAGTTGCTGTGCCCATTATGCCTGTCTTCTGCACCTCAGCTGCTGCAGAGCGGGCATAGGTTGGCACCTCCTTCACGACCGGTGGGACACGACGATCAAGCTCCTGGACAGACTCATCAACCTGCAAGGCACAAGCACATGCAGACATTAGTTACTTGAAAGCAATCAAATGATTAAAATACGATGCACGTGGAAGTGTAGAAATGAAGAAACAGTTAGTTAACACTGCATAAGCCTTGCCTCGCGCTAACCAATAAATCAGTTGCAAGAACTAGCAACATCTGAATTCAAATGCCCATGTTATAATGATATTTGCTTTACAGGCTATTGTGTTGATAAATTGGACATAAATTGATTGATGCAAGAGTTGTAGCCAATCCCATTTCGAATTGCCCAGATAGATGCAAGCAAAATATGATATCCTCAGTTAACATCAACTCAATTTTGCCCTGTACCAACTAAGATCCTACAATCCAACTCTACAGATAGAAAATGAAGCAGACAGCTGCCAACAACAAATTATAACTAGTGCCTAATAAGTCAGTTCCTCTGGTGTTCAGACAAGGTATGTGATCAACAGATTGGCAAGAACACCTTGATTCTCCTAGGTAGTATCAAACTATCAGGACATCATCAGTATTACTAAGAAAAAACTAGATTCACAGGATAAACAATCCAGCAGTTTAATTGACATAACGGCTCATAACACTACGCAGATGCGATGTGAAATCAGGAGCACAGAACTAGATACTCCCGTCGCAAAAAGCAACAGCCAGGAACTGGATCGGATAATAAATCATCACATACAGCTAAGAAATAAAGTTCAAGTTTCTCAATTGTTCTCACCTTGCGGTCGAGGAACTTGAGGAGGTCGAGCGGCACGGCGTGGTAGCGGTCGTAGACGGGGCCGACGACGGCCTTGACGGTCCCCTCGACGTGGTCGACGCCGAGGCGGAGCGGGCCTGCGCCCTGCTTGGCGTAGGCGTAGGCCGCGGCGGCCAGCACGACCGCCTGCGCCGCCGCCTGCTGCACGAACTCGAGGTACCTCAGCCTGGCCTCCTCCTCCTCGGGCGTCCTCTCCACCGTCACCTCCTCCTGCGCGCGCGCCAACAAAACAAACCACAGATCAGCACCAAATCACAACCGAAATTGAAAAGCCGAAACAAATCTCGGGGCGAGATCCCTTACCGCCGCGGGCTGGGTGCTGATCGGGGCGGCGTCGTTGTTGCCTGACTGCGCCATCACTGCTCTTAGGTGGGGGATCGACGGAGCTGCGCTTGATACCGCGAGAGGGAGACGAAGAACTTTTTCGATCGAGGCGATTTCGCTGCTAGGGTTTTGGGGATTCGGTGGATGGATTTGGCAGAGGTGGGGAATCGGGGGTCTTATAGGGAAGAGAAGAGAGAGACAATATGAAACCGATCGGACGCGTCTGTTTTTTCTTTTGCCTTCCGCGTTAAGGAATTTTGCGCCTGTCCGTTTCGCGTCCGCGCCGGGGCTTCCAGAAGGGGGTGTGGGTGGGCCCGCTGCGGGTCGCCGACAGTGGGGCAGGCAAAATGGGGCCCGCGTCCCAGTGGGTGTGGGTGGTGGCTACGCGCCGTGACGCGGAGGCGGTTGGGTGTGGGGCCGGCGCGTCTGTGAGGGAGACGGGGGACGGTGTGACGTGTACGGGCGGTTTTGCGTTTACGAGGGGCGGTGCGCGATGTGTGAACGGCGTTCGCCGTGTTTTACGCTTTTCGGTTTTTTTTTTGTGTGTTTTTGGAATGGAATATGTTTTGTGGTGCTGCTACGCTGCTGGAAGTTTCGAGACGAGGTCTAGAGATCTGTGGCTTTCTGTCGAAAACCTGACGCTGACGGAGAGGCTTTCTCCGCAACAAGACCACCGGTTTTGTGTCGACCACATAACCTCCGAGTAATTCACAAGGCCCCAACTGGACGCGTAGCTCAGGTGGGGGTTTGGTTTTGGTTTTTCTGCAGTGGAACCATCCGTTGGAGGTTATGTTCTAGATTTGACATTGATGTTTATTAAAAAAAAAATCAATTTTTCGTTGATACTGGTTCCGTGGGACATGTCGCTTGCATCGACAATGAGGTTAGAGTGTGTGCGTTCACCAGCCGCAAAAAAAAAGAGTGTGTGCGTTTATGAAGATGAGTATATATACGCGAATATGAGCATATGTGTCGTACCGTGTTTTAAAAAATCTATTTCCTCCATTCCGAATTACTTGTCACAGGTATGGATGTATCTAGATGTATTTTAGTTCTAAATACATCCATTTCTGCGACGAGTAATTTGAAACAGATGGAGTAATAGCCAATGTCCCATATCATAAGCACTTTCTTTTTTACGGCCCGTCCAAATTACGGTTTCCCTAGATTATGAAAAAAGTATGATGTTTTAGCAAACTTGATCTTAATTTCCGTGTTGATGCTAGACAATTTCATTCCCTTATAGGGACCGCTTTAACACTTGCTAACGGTATAGGTTATGAAGACATCATTATCTTGCTGCCCCATAGGAAAAGGTAACTTGAGGCAACTTTACTAATTTTATTTCTTCAACCCAAGTTGCTACCTAGTGGGCCTCAAATAAAAGAAAGATAGCAAAAAATATAAAGTATCGGATCTAATCCCCAACACAAATGCACCCGCATGAACAATAATTTTTGAAAGTGTGTAAAAACAATCAAAAAATTCTGAAAACTTTTGTGGATAAACATCAACAAGTGTTCTGGCATCATGCAAAATTTCACCACCAAAAGTCACCCATAGTGGCATGTGCCGGAAAAACAGAAAAATGAGTGCTTCAAATGCGGTTTTTTTTAGTCCTGACCTTTTTTTACAAGCCTCCATAGATGTCTTTTCTAGGTGAATTTTTACATGATATTAGAACATATGTTGATGTTCATCCAAAAATTTAAGATTTAAAAAAAAATGTTTACTGTTTTTGAATTTTATTGTTCATGCGTGTGTATTTAAGCTTGGGAGCAGATAATCCATGTCCAGCAAAAAAAAAACTCCCATACACATGGGTGACATGCATATCTATTCTCTCGCCCTCCACTCCAAACTTTTGCACGTAACCACATCAAGCACTCGCAACCTTTTTTTTCACGGGTGAAGCACTCGCAACCTGCAAAAAAGAATCCGACACATTGCAGGGCATCACCCCCTGACATGCGAATCTACATGGCATATATATGGGGCAGCAGCTTGAAGACATGCCTTAGGTCATGCCCATTACGCAGATTGCAGATGCTAATTGAGATGCCTTTTGACAGTCCTTACAAACCACTCGACCAATAGTAGAAGGTATAGCTAGCCCTGTCAACGAGTGGTTCCTTCTCAACACGGGAAATTTATCAGGGAAAAGGAGAGTCGTCGAAGATGCTCTTAGTAGTAAGGGGCTCTTTGATTCGTAGGATTTTGGAAACATAGGAATAGGAAAAATGTAGGGTTGGAGTGGCATGCCCATTTGAATCCTATAGAATTAGCAATGATTGTTTGATGCCACGGGAAAAACAAAAGAATTGTAAAAAGAGGTTCAAGTGGATGTTAAATTTCCTATGAAATGTAGTACAGAAGATTCCATAGGAAAAATTTCTATGGAATCCAATCCTATGAATCAAAGGACCAACATATGAAAAAATCCTAAGGATTTCAATCCTCCAGAAATCCTATAAAATTCCTTTAAATCAAAGAAGCCCTAAGAAGTTTCATTGCCCCCAGCAAGCTCTGTGGGTGTTTTCTTCTCTTTCAACAAGGCTCAATGGTGATTTGAGGTTTGGGGTCAAAGTTTGAACAAATCTCACAAACGTTTCAGCATACTATCAGTACTAACTAGCAAGAGTAGGTTTTATTAGTTTAAGAAGATCGGATTCTCAATTCTCACGCGACTTCAAACTGAATCCACACGGTTTCAACATATTTACAAAATTTTCGAATAAATTTTAGTTGACGTTCAACATACAGAAAAATCACCATCGAAATGCAACGCATGGGATTTAAGGAGCCAGGTAATAGTCAATAATCACCAGCAGAAAGCAGAACTGCAGAAACATGTAGGGTGACAGGTATCAGTAATCCAAATCCAAAGTTTGAACCGAACTGAAATTTCTTCGTCAGACCCAACATCAGTAATAGAGTGATACAAGGATCACAGAATTATAGAACTACTGTACCAGGATCATTATGGGTTTGCATCTTTTGTTGTTCAGACGAGGATCCACCTGTTCGTATGATTCATCTGAATAGTTATTAGTTATTGTCTATTTTCTCATACTCAAAAACCGCACAGTCGGTATAGTGGAGATATTAAGCATGATTGTTGCCGTAGCAAGTAACACTACCTGAGATTCAGAGTATGATACAACCTGTTAATTACTACTCCCTTTGTTTAAAACTGCCAAAATGTCTTACATTTGTGAAGAGAGTGAGTACCTCCCTTCCAAAATAAAGCAAGTTCTGGGTTGGTACTCCCTCCCAAAATAAAATAAGTTCTGGGTTTGTTCCAAGTCAATCTTGAAATGCAGACAGTGCTTATTTCCTCATCATGCGGTAAAGAACATTAAAAAGATGGACAGCAACAACGGTGATTGATAGAATGGTAGAAGGATCATATAGATCTACCAACATTATTGAACTATAGTTCCAGATGAATATAACAACACTCTCCAGCCAAAATTATGATACGAACAATCTGCGGGGCAGAAAGGAAAAATGAAACTGATACAGATTACCGGTTCAAGAAATTAGGAAAATTGCTAACACAACACATTGATGATTTAAGTAAATAGATGCTCTTCTTGACAAGCTAATAAGCAAACGATGGTTCACCGGGCCGGAAGCTCCTGTAGATGGAGGCTATCACTGGGACTAGACCCAGTAGCGCGATCTGGACCTGCTCCGATGTGCTTGTCCTGACGGTGATCTGTCCGCTCAGCTTGTTGTTGAGCCCAAGGCGAACAGCCATCTTTGAACCCCTTCCAATCGAGAACTGGGACTGAAGATTAGCCCCCAGGGCAAGGTCACGGCGCCACTTCATGAGGGACAGGCCCAAGGTTGACAAGGACTGACCAATTGGATAATCTTTGTCTTTTAAGCGTGCTTCCAGGTTGGCTCCATAGGCTGTATCCCCTTGAGCTCGCATTGCGCCTGTGCTTGCCACTAACGCCAGCCTCTTACCAACAGAGAGCTGGTCCTCGACCTTCAGCCCAGTTGCTACAATGTCACCCAAGAAAGTCACAGAGAATCCTCCAGTGGTCTTGTTCTTCTTGATGCTCTTGAATTTGGTCTCACCACGGAGAATATAAGCAAGCTGCCGCCCAACAGTCTGGATGTCAAAACCAGCAAGGGAAGACGCATCCTCCCCATGCTTTGCTGAGATGGAAGAATCCAAATGGATGCTAAATTCCTTCTTGTCCTTGGTAACCTGAACTGCCACAGTACCTGGGAATTTGTTAAGGAGAGCGAGCGACTCTTCAACGCTTACACCATCATAGCCACAGTCATGATCCCACCCATGCGCATCTAGAACAGGCCTTGCAAGGACAGTAGAGGTTGGTTCCAGAAAACGGTAACGGTATGTCGGATTGTCACAATCAAATGAAGGAGGCAGCACCATGTCAGGCAAGGGAACTGAAACATTTTCTGGAGGAGGATCCTGATCATTTTCACCTGCGATACTAGCATAGCCATAAGCATCCATATCAGACTTGCCTCTCTTCTTCATCTCCTTTAACCTGCGGAGCTCATCCTTCCACTGTTTCTTCTGCAGAAGTTTGACCCTGTAATCATACTCATCAAAATAAGCATTCTTCTGCTCTTTTGTGAGCCTTGCAAGCTGCGCTTTGGTCAAAGGCTTGAAGGGAGGAAGCTGATCATATTCCTCTTCATCTTCATCTTGTTCTATATCAGAATACTCATCCAAATCAATATCAGAATCTCCTTCATTACCACCCTGATCAGGTGAAAGTTTTGGGTGAGCTCTTGACTGCAACAGGGAGGATAGCAGGAAAGGAAGTGGCGGGGAGCGGAAGCGGAACCCAAAAAGCTTCCCAGGAGAAGGATCCTGAAGCTTCAAAAGTGAGTTGGCTTCTGATAATATCTTTGATGAGTAGCACAAGAGCAGCATCTGATGCCTCCAACTTTGGCCATTTGGAAGCACTTTCTGACCCTCACGGTTCTTCCGGCAAGAAGGATGGTTCTCAACAAGGGCTACTGGGTTCATCAGACGCATATCC